TTCATGATTAGAATAGGGTTTTGGGCCCAATATACCATAATTTTATTAAGGAGCCACCAAAATAGTCTTGGTAATCATTTAGGCCCCCCCCCCCCCACATTAGGGGGCAAAGGCATACCTGCGGCCCGAAGGACGTACCTCTTTCAGAAACTATCTATAGAATGTATAGAAACCCTGATCAGGAACCCGGAAAAGGTTGTTTCAGCATCTACATAGAAACCAGAATCATGCAGGAGCCCTGGAAAGGTAGGCCTTTTCGGTATAGAGGTTTGGTGTTATACAGAGCCGTTGGAATTGGCACTGGGGACAAGCCAGTAGGGATCTCCTGGACGTCAGCTTTAGTGAGTCTTTTGGGGGGTTCGGGGTTTAGGCCTTTCAGGGTTTTTGGGATTGTGGTTTCCAGGCTCAGGGCTTTTGGGCTTAGGGTTTCAGGCACGGGGCAGATTGAAACTCTCCAGCCTGCGGGACCCTCAGCCAAACCGAAAAAAACACTAACACAGTTGTGGCAAAGAGGGATCCTAGTCCTACGGCCACCGCGACGACGGCGACGACCACAAGTACCACCACTACTGCTAGGGTCTTTCTGGTGTCGGCCACCAAGCCCTAAACCCTAAACCCTGGACCCGATAACCAAGCCCTGAGCCCTATAATTAAGATCTAAACCCTAGACCCCTAAACCTTAGGCCCTATAACTATGCACGAAGCCCTAGACCCTACAACTAAGCCCTAAACCCAAGACCCTATACCTACGCCCTAAACCCTAGATCCTATAACTAAGCCCCAAACCCTAGCCCGAAATCCTAAACCCTAGACCGTATAACTAAGCTCTTCACCCTAGACCCCATAACCCCCAAGCCCTAAACCCTATAAACCCTCCCAGCCCCAAAAGCCCTAAACCCCATAAACCCTCCCAACCCCCAAAAGCCCTAAACCGTTCAGTCTTCTGCCATGTTGCTCGAGGGCTTGAGTAGCCGACTCGACATCCTCCTGCGTTCTGTAGGGTTAAGGGGTTTAGGGGTTT